TTTAATAAAAGGAGGAGGAGTGGTTTTAATGCTGAATTAGTTTGTGGGGTTTTAGAGGTGTTTGGGGCCCTTTGGATTTCTGTGGTGACTTGCTATAGTGACATTTGGGAAGGAAGCACTAACCTTGAAAAATTTCACAAAAATCCACTTTGTCTGGATGAAGACCTCTGTTTTCTTTGCCTGGATTTGTTTCTAAACAGCTATCAGCCAGTTCTCAATTACTATGTATCATTCACTGTAATGCCTTCATTTCTATTCTTCCCCATACATACTGAGAAATGTGCCTATACATCAAACGTACATATTAATATTATATTGTAAGATTGTCATGCCAATGGTCAATATGAATTATAGGAAACAACTGATCAAGTATGCTTAATTCTGAACCATATCTTTCTAATAGCGTAAACTAAGGAAACGTAAATCAATTAATTTGAAGGTCATATAAATCTCATAAACATTAATACTTTTTCATATTTTTGATAAAGAAGGAGCAGGAGAGTAAGCTTGGGCACCATGCCCACTTTGTCTCATTTTTTTTGTTTGTTTTTCTTCTTAAGGGTTTGCTTTCCTAAAGCATGAAACATGAAGGGGTGAGGGTTGGGTGCGTCGGCTCACGGCTGTAATCCTAGCATTCTGGGAGGCTGAGGCAGGCAGATCGCTTGAGTTCACGAGTTTGAGCCCAGCTCTGATCAAGATCAAGACCCTGTCTCTAAAAATAGCCAGGTGTTGTGGCAAGTGCCTGTAGTGCCAGCTACTTGGGACGCTGAGGCAAGAGAATCACATGAGCACAAGAATTGAGGTTGCTGGGAGCAATAACACCATGGCACTCAACCCCAGGGCAACTTAGTGACTTGCTATAGTGAGCAATAACACCATGGCACTCAACCCTAGGGAAACTGAGTGAGACTCAGTCTCAAAACAACAAAAACAGATTAGAAAAACTATTAGAAAAAAAAGAAGAAGGGATGGGAGGTAATTAGAGTCATAAACTGTCCTAGGAGGACCTGATGCATCTATACTTGTTTTGAACTTAAACTGGGCAGTGGTAACCACCAGTGACTTTCACCATCAGCAGTTCCACCCGGGTCTCTAAGGAAAGTTACAAAATTCACAAGAAAAAATTAAAATTTTTTCTCTTTATTTCTTCCTTCTTACCTTCCTCTCTTTTCTTTCATCTCTTCCTTCTCTCCACCTTGCTAGTTCTTTCTTTGTGTTTTCTCAGTTTAACATATTGTAGAGCTTATACAGGGGAGATATTTGTGAGCAAGGCTCTCACGTATCTGAGCTAATGCTATTCTCTCACTTTCCCCATCCTCTTCATTTAATTTCCTAAAGAGGGAAATAACTTGAATTAGCAATGTAGCACTCCCCACACCTCACTTTTGGGATTTAACATATTCCCTCATGGAAGTGCTGATTCCGTGGAGAATACATCTTACTTGGCAATGAAAATCCCCCATCTTGAAAATTATCAAACAACAAGAGTTCTCCTATCATCAAGAATATAAAATCTGGGCTGGGTGCTGTGGCTCACGCCTATAATCCTAGCACTCTGGGAGGCTGAGGCAGGTGGATTGCCTGAGCTCATGAGTTCGAGACCAGCCAGAGCAAGAGTGAGATCTCCCCTCTAAAAATAGCTGGGTGTTGTGGCGGGCACCTGTAGTCCCAGCTACTCGGGAGGCTGAGGAAAGGGGATCCCTTGAGCCCAGGAGTTTGCAGTTTCTGTGCGCTATGACTCCATGGCACTCTACCCAGGGTGACAAAGTGAGATTCTGTCTCAAAAAAAAAAAAAAAAAAAAAAAAAAGAATATAAAACCTAATAGAAAAATTAATATTTTCATCAAAGGTAACTATCATTAAAACATGTTCTTAGCTGCACAATTGTCTCCTACCGTGATTCATTGGGTGCAGACTACAGTTTCCTTCATTTATCTCTCCTGGAGATTATAACCAACATTTATTTTAAAGCATAGTTTTACAAATGTTTGATTTGGAAATTGGTCAGTGTTTAAGGAGTTCTTTCTGAATGCTGTTGCTAGCCTCTTTCTAGCTGAGTAATCTTTTTTTCTTCCTAACTTGTACCAGTAAATTTGTTCACAAGAGTAGAAACATTGCCTACCTGTAATAAACATCCCTGAGAGCAGTCGCTGTCTCTGGAGCAGTGCACTTTGATGGAGATTATTCCATTTTCAGGGTTGCTGACCTTTTATCTCTTTATTAGTTGCTATAGTGATGATCTGAGCTCTGCTTAATAGAGCTTTACTAAAATGAAGACAATAAGCTTTTTACTGCTAACATATATGTTGATGGTTCCAAATAATACCTATCAAAATAAAATTTAGTCCTATAGATATATTTAATAGTGGAATATAATTTTTTAAAAAATTGTTTAAATAGATGTTTACATAAGTTGCAGGAGATTAAATGCATTCTGTGGCTTTTTTAGAAAACCTAGAATACCTTCATGAGGACATACAAATCATACAAATAGAGAGACAGTTGAAAGATCATTGTAAAATAGACGACAAAATTCTTTTATAGCAACACCTTAGAAGTAGCAAGTACTTCATAGTTAATAATTTCTAAAGCAAAGTCAAAGCACAGAGTTCTTTTAGCACCTGTTGTAAAAACGCTCCAGGCCAGCCTCTCCTCCTGTGCACCTGTACAACCTCTAATGAATCCTAAAGCACTCACGGAAAGGAAAGTCGGTACTGGGTTAAAATTCACCAGGCAGAAGTAGTAGAACAGCGTGGAACATGTTGGTTTCTGAGTTCACTTAACAGATTTAAATCTTTTACTTACTGGTAGTATATAGACTGTGATTTCAAGGATTATAGAGAAACTGCTATAAACACATTTTTGAAAAATTTGATTCTTTTTCCTTTGGAATTAAATATTTGTTTTCAAATGATGTATTTTTGACACATTGTTAGTCAAATGCAAATACATTTAAAATATTAAATTTTCTGGCTTTATCAATGCAAAGAAGGAAGTCTGAGGAATGGTGTAATTCACAAGGCCCGTCAGTCACCGTCTTTTGCTTTGACTCTAATGTGAGGTGTTAGGCTGTTGTTTCCAAGCCTGGTCTCTAACCCTGTCTCTGGCCTATGGAGAGTCAGTTTGCTCAATGGGCAGGGTGAGGAGGTGGCAGCCCACGGCTGGAGCTGGGCTTCTCTCTCTCCAAAACCTGATTCTTCTACTTCTCCTTGACGTTGGAGAACATGTCTCCTCAGTTCTATTCCCGTGTCAAATACACCTTGAGGTTTGCTGAAAACAAAAGTCAACATCTCAAAGGGAGGACAGGAGGATGAAATTGATGCTGAGGCTGTCTTTAGTGAACAAAAAGGAAATGAACAATGTGTCAGCTTCAAGTGTAAAAATACCTTATTTGAAAAACACAGGAGGGGCAGCCCCTGTGGCTCAAAGGACTAGGGTGCTGGCCCCATATGCCGGAGGTGGCGGGTTCAAACCCAGCCCCGGCCAAAAAAAAACTGCAAAAAAAAAAAAAAAAAGAAAAACACAGGAAACTCTGTCATCATAGACTTTTAATATATCACTTTTTTCTAAATTAGAAAAAGATTTCTTAAATGCAAGATGAAGTTAAAGTAAAAAAAAAATTGGCTATATGTGTTTTTAAAATTAGAATTGCAAATTTAATTATGTCTTTATTTGGTTTCAATGGCCATATTTGTTCTCTTAAACAAAAAGCCTCATTTTTTACTTATTAGGAACATAACTAATAAAACTGTTGGTGATTCCGCCACTTAAGAGCCATCTACTGGTGCCTACTCCCTGTCAGGCACCATGGTCGACAGTAAGTATGTGGTTGGAACAAAACAGGCAGACGTCTCAAAAAGCTTATGTGCTTTGGAGGGAATCAGACGATAAATAGATGAGTATATATTGTGTCAGATGTGATAAGAGCCAGGAATTAAAATCAAAGGGGACAGGGTGTCTGGAGAGTGAATGGGGGCTGGGAAGGAAGTGCTATTTTAGGTACAGTTGTCAGCCAACACCCTCATCTCCCACCTGGCTTCTTGCATTAGGTTTCTAATTGATCTCTTTGCATTTATCCTTGCTGCCCTAGTTACTGTTCACACAGCAGCCGCTCAGAGTAAGAGTTAGATCATATTTCTCATCTAGTGAAACGCTGCAGCGGCCTCTGCTTAGAATGAAATTCATGGTCCTCTTGGCTTAAGAGACTCCACACGATCTTTCCCCTCTTTGCCCCTCTGACCTTACTTTTTCCCTTTCCCTCATTTACTGCACTGTGGGTGCTTTTCCCTGAACTCATATGATACAAGGTCCCCGCCTTGGGGCCTCTCATGCTGGCTTTGCTGTGACGCTTCTCCACGGTACCTTTGGTGGGGGCTCCCTTGCTACATTTGGGCTGCCTCACCCCTCTTCAGACCAGCCTTCCTCGACCATCCCAACTAAGTGGCATCCCAGCATCACCCTACTCCTTGCCCTGCTTCATTTTTGCTCATAGCACTTGTTTATTCTCTCTTGTCTTTGTGTTAAAAATCTGTCCAGTGGACGTCTGGGAACATATGTGCCCCAGAGCAGAGATTCGGGCTCTTAACTCACCACTGTGTCTCTAGCACCTGGAATCCTGGCAGCCCATTGCAAGAGCCCAGTAATTGTGGCATGAATGAATGCATATGCTCTAAAAATGAACTGCTGAATACAGGGGTGGGGACTAGTAGATGGAAAAGTGTCAAAGGCTTTGAAGGTTGAAAAATGATCTCATGTGCGAGTGTTTCTCCGTGATCCGAATCCTGTGCCTGGTGGCCACAGGATATAAGCATTCCTAGCTAGGATCTAACCTCCTACTCCTTTCCCCATCTATGCTTCTACCATAGCCTATACCAGTGAACATAGTGCATCCTACATGGCTTTGTATTTTAAATGTGAAATTTCCATGATTGAATCTCCAATTTCTAAAATACTTAAAATGGGTTGGTTTCTGATCATGCTTTTTCTTTTTTAAACTGCAGCCTCACCAAATGCTCCAAAACTTGGACCCATGGAACTGGCTGTTGTCATTACTGTGCCTGTGTGCCTCGTGTCCATAGCTGCCATGCTGATAGCATGGGCCTGCCAAGGGCGGTGGTGCACCTATAGGAAGAAAAAGAGATCCAATGTGGAGGAACCGCTCTCTGAGTGCAACCTCGCAAATGCTGGAAAGACCCTTAAAGACCTGATCTATGATGTGACTGCCTCCGGTTCTGGCTCTGGTATGTACCTATAATTCGTTTCTCAGTAAGAAAGCACTTATTTGAAAGTTAGTAGTCTGGGAGGGGGCCTCACACCTGTAATCACATCACTTTGGCAGGCCAAGGTGGGAGAATTGCTTGAGGCCAGGAGTTCAAGACCAGCTTGGGCAACATAGCCAGACTCCATCTGTACAAAAAAAATTTTACAAAGTTAGCCAGGTGTGGTAGCAGGCACCTGTAGTCCTACCTACTCAGGAGGCTGAAGCGAGAGGATCACTTGAGCCCAGAAGTTGGAGGCTGCAATGAACTATGAAGAAGTCACTGCACTCTCGCCTGGTGACAAGTGAGACTCTTATTTCCAAAATAAATAAATAAATGAATAAATACATTTTTAACAATAAAAAAGTCCCCCATATTATGAACTTCATTGTGTAGAGTTCTTGATGGACTACATGGGAAGGTCTGGCATAGAAGCTTCTTTTAGGAATTGATACAGAGAAAAACTGTCATGGCCTAAAGAATTTAGTCTTCTCAATTACCATTTCCAGTGTTAGATGTTCAGACTCTCATCTTCACGTTCTGTGGGAATTTATTTTTGAAGGAAGAAAGCAGTTTCTCTCCTCTCCTCCCTCCCTTCCCTCATCATGGTTAGTAATAATCATTGTTGCTATCTTGGTTATGTTTCATGGACTCAGAATAGCTAGGGGTATTATATTGAAGGTGTTGCTCTGGGGAAGGTGCTAGTTGCCCAAAGTCGTGTTCTTTGAGCACTTTTGCTTGTGTTATGAAGGTCTTTGGAATCTCTAGGCCCTCCGGGGAAGTGTGGGTGAATTAATAGGGAGCTGACCTGAAATTAAATCAAGAGTATGTTCTTTTTTAAAAAATATTTCAGATTAGGGTGCCGCCTGTGGCTCAAAGGAGTAGGGCGCCCGGCCCCATATGCTGGAGGTGGCGGGTTCGAACCCAACCCTGGCCAAAAACCGCAAGAAAAAAAAATTCAGATTAATATATTGGTACAAATTAGGTTACATTGTTTGCATTTGTTAGGTAAAGTTGAGGTAGAGAACACTTTACAAATTTGAGTGTCTTTCTTGCTCAGGGGCCATGCTAATCTTCTCTGTATTAGTCCAATTTTTAGCATATGTGCTGCTGAAGAAAGCACCAAGAGTTATGTTCTTAATGCTCAGAAATAGAATCAAAGGAGCAACACAGCATTCCTTTGCTGGCTTTGGCTACTTAAGGTTATAGAACTCTCCTCCTCTTTAATGGAACTCCAGAACCATTGGTGAAGCAATTCAAAGTTCCAGGTACCTATGTATATCATGGTCCAAATAAGCCTTTTGTACAGTGCAAAGTATTTGAAGATTTTCTTAGAGGGGAGGAGGGGTTTCAGGTGATAGCCAATTGTCCCCGTAAGATTAAACTCCCTCAAATGATAGGGGATTTCCAATTTCCTACTTGTATATTTATTTCCAGAAATCTTGCCAGCACTTGGCTTGCAGAAATAAGAATGAAAGTAAGCCTAAGTGAGCCACTTCAGAAGCCCCTGCATCCCTTCCTGTTTTGGAAGCATCATCAAGATTGTAACCCAGAATTTTGAAGGACCCCTTTGCTACCAGCCTTTAGGAGCATCCAGGCAAGCACAATGAATGGTGGCAGGCAGCAGAGAAGCTATGCCATCTATAGGAGCATCTGTATTTAACCTAAAGCATCTTAAGATTCCCTAGAAAAGAGAGGCCTAATTATATATAGCATCCAGGCAGCCTAGATAGTTTGCAGCTTCTGAGGCAAAACCATTTACCCTCTAATTGACCGAAGTCTAAATGTTTACACCATCATTGTATGAATTAAGTGGCATGTTTTCCAAAGGAGGAATGCTGAAAAGAAAATCTCCAAACTCCAAAGTTTATAAAACTGGAATTCAAATTAAATTGGCAAGAAGACTGGCCTTCTTTCTTTAAAAGTAAAACTTGTTAGGATTCAATAGTCTTTCTTTCTTTGAATATTACATTTGGAGGCCCACTAATTTCTTGAACTCTGGCAATATTCTAGGCAGAGTGCTCTCTGATTTTGAAAACTTATTTCTTGAAAACTTATATGATTTCATGATAAGGATGAGGCAGTGAAAGAACTATTTACTTAATTCTCACCAATATATCTCAGTTCATCTGAACATGTTAGGTAGAAATATATGTATATTTTGGAGATACTCCTTAAAAATATTTAAGATGATCAAGGATTTCCTTTCAAGTAAAAGTAACACAGATTTAAAAACTGGAGATTGGATATTTAGTTTAAGAAAGTAGTCATAAGCCAGGACACAAAATCAAAAATTATTGTTAAGTTTTGTGGTGTTTTTGTACATCTTAAAACCTAAGTCTAGGTTTATTGACTTCTGGACTCTCTCTTCTTCATATGATTCTAAGAACTGTCATTAAAAAAAAGCAGTAAATATACCTAAGCACAGGTGATTTCTTTAAAGATCAATTTGAAAGATTATTAAGCATTTTTTCCCCAAAGTCAGTTGCATGGGCTTGTCTGTGACCCCTGGCTTTAAATAACCAGAGAATGAGCCTATACGTAGCAAGATCTCAGTCACAGAAATTTGCTAGGAAGGGAATTGGGCGATTCCCTCTGTGTTTTTTTTTTTTTTTTTTTTTAGACAGAGCCTCAAGCTGTTGCCCTGGGTAGAGTCTTGTGGCATCACAGCTCACAGCAACCTTCAACTATTGGGCTCAAGTGAGTCTCCTGCCTCCACCTCCTAAGTAGCTGGTTATTACAGGCGCCCGCCACAACGCCTGGCTATTTTTTGGTTGCTGCCGTCATTGTTTTTTGACGGGCCAGGGCTGGATTCGAACCCACTACGTCAGGTGTACATGGCTGGCACCTTAGCCACTTGAGCCACAGGCACTGAGTCAGTTCCCTCTGCTTTTAATTGGCCAGTGATCTTTTTTTTCTTTTTGAGACAGAGTCATACTATGTTGCCCTTGGTAGAGTGCTGTGGTGTCACATCTCACAGAAACCTCAAACTCTTGGGCTTAAGCGATTCTCTTGCCTCAGCCTCCTGAGTAGCTGGGACTACCGGTGCCTGCCACATCACCTATTTTTTGCCTGCCAGTCTTGGTGTATGTGGCCAGCGCTGTAACCACTGTGCTAAGGCGTCTTTGTCTGATGTTGAAAAACAAAAATTGCGAAGCTTGTTCCTGATCTGGTCAGGGGCAAATTTCAAAGACTTATACTACCTGCAAGAGAGGAAAATGGACCAGTATTCTATTGGACTATCTTGAGAGTGGACTGTGTCTCAGGTGGCTTCCAGGAGCCTGGGTAGATTGCTGCTTTCCTTTGATGTAATAACAATTCTGATTGATAGTGACATTACTAAAAGGTGCCTTTTCATAAGACAGGCATCAGCTTCTACAATCCCTGGGTGAAAAGATGAAAATGAACCTATCTAAGGAGACAAAATCCATGTATCTTGAAATGAAATTGCTTAGGCATGCAACAGAACAATCAGGTTCATTCTGGTGGTTGTTTTAAAGATACTGAAGCAACGTGCGTTGAGTTTTACTGCCTCAACTTAATTGCTGTATTAACCCCCTTACATGTTGCTGTCTTTCTTTGTCCTGATTGGTGCCTTTGTCATGCTCTTGATCAGTTGAAATTGGCTCATCTGGTTCTCCATCCTTTTGTTGTTGTGTTGGTGGTGCTGGTTATTATTGGTAACGTGTGTGTGTATGTGGTGTGTGTGTGTGTGTGTGTGAAATCATGGGATAGCAAAAAGGAAGAGACTGAGATTGAAATTTGGCCTAATAATTGTTAGTATAACTCTTAGTTGTGGTCAAATAGTAAAATTGGCTGTCACCTTGTAATTTGCTGCTAAAAGTCCTCCCTCCAGAGGAGAACTACAGTCATTCATTGAATGCTGAGAGAGCAGAGTTTGGCCCGAAGATCAGTATTTTAGTTCTAAGTCTCCCTCTTACTAACAGCATAACCCTGGGTAAGTCTTTGATTACCAAGGGACCCCAGTTCTCCCGCCTCTGAATGATGGAGTTGAACCAGATGATTTCAAAAGAATTTTCTGGCTCAGGGTCTTCGTGACTAATTTTTGGAACCCTTAACAGCAAATTTATAGTCTGTGCTTATTTAGCGATAGTGGGTGGTTCTCACGAACATGAGAACATCTAAATAAACACTGGGTCGTTTCAGGAGCAGGGGCCAAAGCCTTCACGAGCTGCAGGGTTGCTGCTGTGAAGCTTTCCCAGCCATCTGAGTACAATAACGAAACATGACTTTCCAGAATAAATTTATACTGTAACCGTTTACATTATTTTTCCTCTGATGTGAAATACAAGTTTCCACATGAAATACTCCTTGTGGACATTAAGAAACTGTAGGAAATTAGGAAGAAGAACGTCACAACTCATCCCAATTCTGCCAGATAGAAATAACCATCATAGCCTTTAGCATATTTCCATTTTTAGTGTTTCTTTTTTCTGTGCATATTTTAATAGCTAGGCACACTTATTTGTATGGATAAACTTTACTATGCCAATTTCATTTAACATGATAGCAAAAGCATTTCCCCATGTCATTAAGAAATACCTCTTTATAAGTAGCAACGTTGTCATTATTGGCTTTCAGTAATCCATCCTAAGAAACATAATACTAACCATTACTGAACATGTAATACACCAGATACTGCGCTAGGTGCTTAACATGCCTGTTGATTCTCTTATCATCTCTACGAGACAGGTAATATTTATTAGCCCCAGTTCTTTAGAAGGGAAGTGGAAGCTCAGAGAAGTTAAGATACTTACCCATGGTTGCTAGGTGGTGCAGCTCAAATTTGAACCCAGGTCTTTCTTAACTGGGTCGTCTTTATAATATCTGTACGATATTTCACAATTTTTCTATTACCTGATACTTTTCCTTACTTTTTCCTGTAAATAAAAATAATAATGCATTCAACATTTTGACATAAACTTTCCTACATTTTACATTAAATCTTCAGGATTAAATCTTTCAAAGTAGACTTACTAATTCAAAGAACATAAATATTATACATACACTCAGAATATATTTTTACTGAAATTTTTTTGTTCCATAGAAAATGTCAAATGGATATTGTATTTTGTCTTTAGTGTAATATCATGACCTCATCTGATCATTGAATTTGATTCTTCACGCTTTCCAATTTTAACTTGGATTTAAAAAAATTCACAAAGAATTCTTTTGCTTCCCCAGCTGTACCAGGAGCCATAGGTTTTATTTTAAAGGCTAACAATGTTTTTTCTTTCACTCTGTGTATTGAGTAACCTGACTGGCTTTGATGGGCAAATGAAGATTTGCAGCAATTCTTGGAAATCAGATATTGCAGCAGCGAGCTCTGTTCAAAAAATTTTTACTTGTGAATATAAAGAGAAATTCATATTCATAATTGAAAGTATTTTTGAGCATGCTTCAATGTTAAAGTGATATTAAAGTCTTATATACTGATGCTTATTTCTTCACAGTCAAGAAGGTTATTAAAGTGCTTAAATGTTTTGCTTTCTTAGGTGAAATTAGCCATCATTGTGGCAGTTTCTGGCCCTTGCTTTTAATCATCAATTCCATCTCTTTGGTTAGGTCTACCTCTGTTGGTTCAAAGAACAATTGCAAGAACGATTGTACTTCAGGAAATAGTAGGAAAAGGTAGATTTGGTGAGGTGTGGCATGGACGATGGTGTGGGGAAGATGTGGCTGTGAAAATATTCTCCTCCAGAGACGAACGATCATGGTTTCGAGAGGCAGAAATTTATCAGACGGTCATGCTGCGACACGAGAACATCCTGGGTTTCATTGCCGCTGATAACAAAGGTATTTCCAACATAATTGGGTTCAGCGAGTAAAAATATTTTCTATTATCAGCTGAGAATCTATAAATCCATTTCTTGGTTTTAATGAAATCTACTTAAAAGTTTAATCTCTTTATTGAGGAAAGAATTTTTTCCTCTTTTCCATAGATAAATGTCCATAGCCATACAATGAAGTAGGGCAAATGAGTGATAGGAAAGTATGCTGTCTCTGGAGCCATGTGTTGACTGGGTGGTGCAGGAACTAACCAATCAGAAGAGAAGCTCCCGCTGGGCCAGAGTTCTGCAGAACCCTGCCATGCTAGGTCTTCACTCCAGTTGCTGCTGGGTCTTTTGAGGGCAAGGACATTGGATATCTGGGGTAAAGGAGTGTCACTGGGGGGGAGTATTGAATAGTGGTTATTTACCAACCAGGACAGAAATATTTTAATAAGTGGTACAATCAGCAAATACTAGCTGAATGTTCAGCTTTGCCAGAACTGCGTTTTTTTCCTCTTTATAACAGGCTTCATCCTCAGGACCCAAGTTTTTTTTTTATGAATAGAATCTCTTTGGATTGTGTCTGAATGGTGGCAAACAAGATAACTTTAGTGCAATTTTCTATTAATGTTACTTTATGCATGATTTATATCTTGATGTGTAACATTAACAGTGCCAAACGGTGTCATTTTTTAAATTTCATAGAGCAAGACATAGAATCCACTTTCTTGTATTTAAAATAAAAAGTCATAAAATGTTAGCAATGCTTGTATAATCAGAGGCTACATATAAATTTTATGGATTGCCTATGGTCTCTTTCTTCTTTTTACAAAGCGTTTATTCTTCAACTATTCTTTATTGCCCCTAACAAAGGGAACAGGAAACAGAAAGCAGGAAACCTTGATCTGGTCAGTTTTTAAATTTTAACGCTAGTCAGTAATACTTACAAAGAACTTTGGCAGAATCAAAGTTATGAACAGAAGTATCTCAAAATAAGTTAAAACAGGTTATCTGTGGATGTCAAGGGTCCATCATTGCCTGTGATAATTAAAAACATATGGTTATTTTAATGTAATGTACACTTGATTATAAAAGTGTTTATTATTAATTAGATGGAAAAAGAGGGCCTTAGCATTGACTGTACATTTTAGCCGAAATAATGTTTGTTGATGCTTTGTTGTTTTGATTTGCCCAAGAGAAACTAAGTTAAGGCAAAATGAGCTAAAACAAAACGTTTTTTCCAAGTTAATAACGACTATAGATTTTAAAACTATAGCCAGGCTATTGAGAATGAGATAATTTTCATTCAGCTGTTGAAAATAGTTTTCTTTTGCTCCTGATGTTGAGCTGAACTACCTACTGGTTAGATTAATTAGGAATGCTGTCAACACAGTAATGACTACATGGATCATCTTGATGGGACTCATTTAATCATGGTGTTTATTGAATTATACAGCAATATGTGCAGGGGAGATTACCCTGGGTTTTCTCTTCTGTGTAACTGCTCTACCTCTGCTCTATCTCCGCTTGTCAGCAGCTTATTTGCAGGATTCTAATGCAGACATTATAACATCACTTTCATCTTCTGGAATTTGTTTCTCTTTTGCAACATTTATAGCTTTCCTTTTTAGTCAACTGTCTGACAAAAGCATTGATGTGAGTGAGAGGGCAAGGACAGCCACCGATGTCAGTCAGGGACAGAGGTGTGAGGAAGGTCAGTTTTACGTGTGGTCAGCTTATTAACGAACTTTATCATGTTCTGTTGACTTTTGCATTCCTAAAACATTTTATCACTACCTGGATTTGGAAATTAAATATTTGGATAACACAGAAGTTATCAGCAAATGTTCCGTCAAGATGTGTGCCCCGAGTGTCAGAACTAGTCAGGACCACCAGGATTATTGCAGACATTTCATTCTGAAAGTTAAAGCTAACTCCAGGGAATCAAACACTGTGTACCTAGAGAAGTTTTAGGCTAATTTCTCTTCTGGTAAAAGTCTTTCATAAGCTGGATCAGCTCTGGCTCAATTAGGTAAATTATTTGAAAATGTCTATGACAGGGGTGGGGAACCTTGGCCTTGGGACCACATGTGGCCTCTGGATCTTGAGTGTGGCCTTTTGATTGAGTTCCAGTTTGACAGAACAAATCCTGTTTGGCTCTTACTATACGCTTTTGAGGAAAATCAACTTCGTATTTTGAAGGATGAATAACATGAACTTTTTTTTAGAATGTCAGCTTTTTGATAGCTGGTTTTGATAGTAGATTTGTTGTATTTATGATCTTTATTGGTATAATCTTTCTTAAAAGTTCAGACTACTTTACGACCCAACACTAGGCCTCAGTGCATCTCTCAGGAGTTTCTTCTGTAATGTGGGATAGCAATGGAGGGAATAAGAAAGGTGTTGTTCATTCAGTTGTTAGAATCCATGGCCTCACAACTTCCTATTTCTGTGGTGGGTACGTATAACAGGTTCTAATATGCCAGCATCTTGAGGAATTCACTGAGACTCTTTCCTTTTTTAACTTGACTGTAAGCGTTTCCACTAAAATAATTAACTTTGCTAGCAATACAGATTAACTTTAAACACTGACATTTGTTAAAGCTTTTGGCTTCTTTCTCAATGCATATTTACAATAATAAAATTATGTTCTCTTGTTAGATAATGGAACTTGGACTCAGCTTTGGCTTGTATCTGAATATCATGAACAGGGTTCCTTATATGACTATCTGAATAGAAATATAGTGACAGTGGCTGGAATGATCAAACTGGCACTTTCAATAGCTAGTGGTCTAGCTCACCTTCATATGGAGATCGTTGGCACACAAGGTATGTGTGTTCTTTTAATGTGTTTTCTCTTTGAATAGGAGAATAGAAACAGTGGTATTTTAGTGTTTGGTTTGTATTTTAGTTCACTACAAATAATTATGAAATGTAAAGAGACACTAAAGGTACTTTATAAAGCTGAAGGTTTTGGCATTAGATGGTCAACTCTCCTCTATGTACTCGCCATTTTGTATATCATGCATATAATATTAAAAAATTCATTTCCTGATGGTTTTATCTCAGTACATATACTGGGAGATCTTACTTTGATGGGAAGTGGTCTATATTCAGAGAATACAAATAATTTAAATGTTTACCTATAATTAAAAAATAATCAAAAAGGATAATTTTGAAAAAAATGGTGTATCATTTATTTGCAGGGCAAATAATATCCACTGCCTTTTCTATTTATTGTGTTAATATGGAATTGGCTTTGAAAGTCATTAGTCTAAACAGGGTGGTGGGTTGTCAAATTTGGACTCATGATACTTTTACATTCTTAAAAATTATTGAAGACCCCCCCCCAATTTTGGTGTACCTGGAATATATTTACAACTACTTATCATATTAAAAGTTAAAATGGAGAAATTAAAAAAAAACTTATTAGTTTACTTAAATAATCAATTAAATGTTAATGTAAACAACATAGCTTTAAAATATTACATTTTTTAAACTATAAAACTTACCTAGTGAAAATAGTGGTTTTATTTTACATTGGTGTTAATCTCTTCAATGTCTGGTTTAATGCCTGGATTTTCACACTTTTTCTTCAGTTTGTATGTTGTTTTGGCTTAAGTAGGGGAAGAAAAAGTGGCATCAGAGAGATATATAGCTGGAAAAGTCTCAAGGACCCCCAGGGATATTTGGGCCGTATTTCAGAACTGGACATCTAGGGTGGTAGATGTTTTGAGACTTGTTTTGTAAGAAAGTATTTGCCATGTTTTTATATGGACATAGCAACACTAATTTTTTCTGCATGTATTAAAAATATTTATTGGTGGGTACTAAAAGTCACCTAGTGTTTTAAGTATTAGAGGCACATGATGACCAAGACAGAGGCACTGCCCTCTTTCAGCTTATTGTTTGGTTGGGAGAACAGATGATTAAATGTGCACATGAATAAACAAGATATTAGATAGCGATAAAAGCTACAAAGAAAACAAATTAGCTCTTTTTGATCTTCAGCAAAGAAGAAAATGAATATAATCTTCTTATGTTTCATAGGGAAACCTGCTATTGCTCATCGAGATATAAAATCAAAGAATATTTTAGTGAAAAAATGTGAAACTTGTGCCATAGCAGATTTGGGGTTGGCTGTGAAGCACGATTCAATACTGAACACTATTGACATACCTCAGAATCCTAAAGTGGGGACCAAGAGGTAAGACGACTTATTCTGGTAGCAAACAAAGACTTCTAAGATTCCCCAATAAACATGAATGCCTGTTATATAAGGGAAGGAGGGTCAATCTGGACCAAATAGGAAATTATTGGGCCCTAGAAAGCAAGAAGTCTTCTTCCGCTCACTGAAGACTCCGTGGGCACAATGGTTATAAAGCAAGAGTTACTGCCCAGCCAAGTTCATCTGCCCACTGCTCAAGAGAAAGCCAATATCCAGAGACAGCAGGGTTTACAACAGAAAAAGAATTTATTCTGTATAGTGCTATGCAGAAAGACGGGAGAAATTCCTCAAATCTGCCTCTCCTTCCAGAACCAGGGAGACAGGGTTTTTAAAGAGTTTAGTGGAGAGAGAATTAGGCAATCAGGATTTGCCAATCAGCTGTTTTCAGGGTAGAACCGTCAGTCCCTTCATATGGATTGCCCTCTGGGCGGGTCAGTTACTGGAATTGCAGGACCTTGAGTGGGAGTCTAAGAACAGTTGAGTTTGTTACTAGGTCTGTGTGGGTCCGTCACTGAAATGCAGGACCCGGAAGACATCTCAAAAACTAACCCTAAGTTCCAAATAGGTGATGTTCTATATGGAGAAAGTTAAGAAACTTTATAACCAATAAGCATGCCTGACTCCAGGGTAAAGAAGCAGACAGAAAGAACTGTGTTTATTATCAAGCAACTGAGGTGACAGTGGCTGATTATTATTGTTTTAGCTCAGTTCAGAGTTTGGGGGCCCTTACCCTAGCTTTAGCCATGTACCCCTTTATTTGTAAGGGAGGTTTCACAGATACAGAATCAATGTAGTAGAATAGATCATTTAGGATAGCTAAATACACTTATGTGGTATCATATTCTTTTAATATTTGAAGATACTATATAACAATTTAGTACTTAACCTTCAGTCCCCTACATTGACATGTGTAAAGATAATATGTTTGGATACAATTCCCATTTTCAAGGAACAGCCTCTTTAAAATTAAAAATAGGCATCACACACATGTCAGGACGGACCTGTCAATAATGGGGTTTCTGGTGTTTTTTTTTTATGATGGCCACCCTATGGCCACGTGGCCAGCCTACTTCTAATTCCTTTTATTTGCATCTCAGGCCTATATTACTTTAGTATAATTTCTGGGTTCTTAACCTTGAAATCAGAAACTGCCCAAATATGTCCCTGGGGTTGTTAAAGACCCTTGAGAATAGAGAATTTTTAAGCTGACAGAGTCAGCCTCCAAGCCATACTTGAGATACCAGGACAGACATGTGTCTGTGAGTCCTTGGCTTGGCTCCCTAGGAGATCTTAATGAGGCTGCAGGATGCCTCAGGGCAGTTTATTCAGACTGGGCAGCTGGTAGGGGAACTTTTCTTCTTTTCCCCATAAAAAGAAAACCTAACTTGCTCATCTGCCCAGCTGAGTATCTCTGCATCAGGGACCCTCAAGGAAGCTTCAGATGCTGGATTCCTTCAGAGGATTTACCGCTTTCCAAAAGTTTGGGAGGATATTGCATCCTCATTTCAATTCTAGGAAATCTCCAGAATCTCCCCAAGACAGCTAGGCTCAGTCAGAATCCACGGACTATAGGTTTATTCTAATTGGCTCCATTCATATAACGCTATAATTTTCTTGGAGCCAGTGGGTTGTTCATGCAGAGAAATTATTTGTGGAATGCTGTTGAGCGCTGCAGGAGGCTTGGGCCCACCGCAAGGAATTAAACCCAGTCCACCCTCAGGGAGCTTTCTATGCCACACACTATTGGTGGAAAGTGAGTTCCTTCTCTTTACTGAGCTCTTTGCTCCCTGCATTTTCCCCCAATTGTACTTTACAAGAACTGAGCTCCTGGAACACCTGCTCTAACAATGAGTCCTAGTTCTATTTAAAATGTCTTTTAATTATTTGAATCAATATCTTATCTAACTTTATTCTATTACAGTGCCTTAGATCTACCTTTACAATTGATACATGCTATCTTCACTTATATTTTGTATCTGGATTGTTAAGGTTGTATTTTACTGAACTGCTCTAAAGTCATACACAGAACCTGACATGTGCATGTTTTTGAAGGTATATGGCTCCTGAAATACTTGATGACACAATGAATGTGAATATCTTTGACTCTTTTAAACGAGCAGACATCTACTCTGTTGGTCTGGTTTACTGGGAAATAGCCCGCAGGTGTTCAGTGGGAGGTAAGATTTTTGGAAATATTCTTTGGGCCTGTCCTTCCATCTTGATATTCTGAATTCAAGATACAATTTTCTGTCTTTTTTTTTTCTAAGCACTATATTGAATCATTTCTAAATACTTAAGAGAATATCTTTTGGTGATATTTGTCTAGTGGGCAAAAATGGGGACATCCTGCATGCAATGGAAATTTTATATTGTGATTATTGCTTAGATGGGGGGGGTGAGAGCCCTTCTGATGATTCTAATTTCCATAATAATATTTTGTGAAGCACTTGAAAATTCTCTTACTTTCATTTGTAAGGAGTTAGCTATGTTGACAGAAATGAAGCCATACTTCGTAAAATGATTTTAAAAGGTTTATTCTGAGCCAAATTTGAGTAGCGGTGACCTGGAGCCACCCCAAAGAAGCCTGGAGCAAGTGGAGATGTTACTGGATGAAGGGGTCCGGCCACCTGTCGCTGTCAGTCAATATGCAGAGACAGGGATGGGTCCACCACACTTTGTGTCATCAGAAGGCTGGCGATTCTGGAGAAAAAGGACAGTAGCCTCTCCAAGACTATTCTGTTCTTCCATTTACAAAAGCACAGTGTTATACATAAAGTTCAAAGTAAAAATCATATTAATTTTTTTAAACAACAATAATTGGCATAACCCATGACCCATAATAAACAATAATCAGCACAACCCATTACCCAAAACAATATTCCAGTTCAAATGTTAACCTCCTAAACCAATTGCCATAAACTACTCAAAATATATACTTTTAGGTTAAAGCTGAGTTTACAAAACAGCAAGAATGGGAGACATGAGGTGAAGGTCACGTACAACCCAAACTAGCCAGACCAGCTGTGTCATCTCAGCCCTAGTCTGAAGGACTCCATTTTGTTCTCACTACATGTGCTTTCCGAGAGTTTAGTGGACAGAGGGTTAGGCAATCAGGGCCTGTTAATTGACTGGTTTAGGGTGGAATCAGCAGTCCTTTGGCAAGGGCAGCTGTCTGGGTGGGACAGCTGATCCACAGGATGTGGTAGATAACTCAACAACTACCCCTAGCTTCCAAACAAGTGGTGTTATTTATGTAGAAAAGTTAAAAATCTGTCCAGCTTCCATCTGTGCCCTCTAGAGTAGCAATTATGAAGAAGCAAACAAAGAGACAGTGATAACCATTATCATCAAACAAGCAAGGGGACAATGGCTGATTATTATCATTATTTTAGCTAGACCTGTTCCTTTAAGAGCTTTGGGGCCCTTGCTCTTCTTTTTACCTTACACCCCTTTATTATTTGGGAGGGTGGTTTTAGCAGTGGGGAGTTACAGTTTGGTTTTGTACATTGTAGGGAGACAGGAATTACAGGTAAAGTAGTAAATTGATATGTGGAAAACATACGTTGGTTTGGCCCTAAAAGGTGGGACATCTGGAGGGGGGCGATGATTACAGGTTATTGGTGAGTTTGAAGATTCTTTAGCTGACAGTTGGCTGAAAGAGTTGGGTTTTGTCTGAAAAACAGTGAAAAGGAATTCTTGAGTTAAGACAAAGGATCTGTTAATAAGTGATAAAGTTCTGGACATATGCCCAGACTCATAAATTAATGTTTACTCTGTATACTGAGGACCCATAGGTATGTCTTATGTAACTTGAGTCCTGTTAATGACTCACAAAGGACAACTCTAGGAAGGTAATGGGGACATGGTAAGGTATGTCTGATTTCCTTTCTCATGGCTAGCAACTCAATTTTAGGGATCCCCTTGGCCAATAGGGGATCCAGTCTGTCAGTTGCTGGGGGAGCCTTAAGACTATATTTGAGTTCCCAGCTGGTATTCATACTTTATATCCCAACGAAGTTAAATGACTCCCAAGGCACAGGACTTGAAGCCTTCTGTTTCTTAGGCTTTTCTTGGTCATCTTTTCTTTCCTATGCTATGAATGTGGGAGGATAAAGAGGTGGAGGAAGGTGATGAAGACAAACGTCCTATCTCTACTAGTCTCAGAAGTTTAGAACTTAATAGTGAGAGGAAGAACTGGGAAGACGAAACCCTACAAATGCAGCCTGATGGAACTGCTTTATCAGTGGTGAAAAAGTTAAATGCAGGTAGAAACTTGTTTAGCGTTTTCACCTTGAAGCAAGAGAAAGTGAGAAGCAAGCCTTGGTTTAGCATCTCTTTCACTGTTAGACTTTAAGCAAGTTACTTATTTGTGTTTTCCTCATCTGTCAAGTGAATGTAATAATAAAACTGACCCCTGGGGCTTTGAAGATTTAATGAAGTAATCCTTAGGAAGCTTTTAGTATAGAGCCTGCTGTTAGCAAACATTCAATTAAAGAGCTGTCATTATTAAACACTGATAATCAAATTTGCTATATTAAAAAGTTTGCATTTTAGGCCATGCCCATAGCTCAGGGGTAGGGCGCTGGCCACATACACGGAGGCTGGCAGGGTTGAACTCAGCCCAGACCTGCTAAAACAACAATGACAACTGCAACAAAAAAATAGCCAAGTGTGGTGGACGCCTGGAGTCCCAGCTACTTGGGTGGCTGAGGCAAGAGAATCACTTGAGCCCAAGCGTTTAAGAATGCTGTGAGCTGTGACTCCAAGGCCCTCTACCCAGGGTGACATCTTGAGACTTTGTCTCAAAAAAATAAAACAAAACAAAAAAAGTTTGCATTTTGTATTGATGTTATTTTGTAGTACATTATGCTCTCTTAAAAAAAAAAAAACTTGAAAATTTTGTGAAAAGCTTGTAAGGTTAATATTATGTTTGAATGAGAAAATATGCTTTTTATTTTTATATGGTATAGAAAACTTTCAGGAACTGAAAGTATTCACAACAGAAGCAATAGCACTGCAGTACACCAGGGCCCCTGAGCCTGGGTTTGCATTCTGATCTGCCACTTAACTAGCCACGTGTTCTTGAGCAAATTCAAATCACTCTGTGGTTCAAGTTCCTTCTCTGTAAAATAGAAATAATATGGTACCTTCTTTATTCACTGGTTTTGGGAAATAAATTAGTTAAAATTTGGGCTTAAGACAATTCTTGATAAATAGCAAAATTTCAAATGTTTGTTATTTTTGTAAAAATTTCATGTTGATATTTCTCCAGATTTACTTTAAAGTTTTTTTGTCCTCAAATTTACCTCAAGTATAAAAATAGTAATTTAGTTAACATGATTTAAAATTAATTTTTCAACAAGATGGCATGACTTACATATTTTAAAAGGGCTACAGTTGATAAAACAAATTTTTGTCATGAATTTCTTGGAATTGCAGTAATAGTCTGATAATTAAGGTCATCTTTGTATTTGAGGCTCATTAAACATTAATCTACATGTTGAACTGTCGGTCACTGACTATCTTCAGTTGCTTCTCCAGAAAATTCTCAGGTATAGTATTTCTAAATTCTAAATGTAAGGAACTCAACTTTCAAAAAATGGCCTAAAAGTTTTCAAAGAGAGAAAGTTGTTTTATTTCAAAAAAGCTATCTGATGGGGAAATGTACATACTTCATTCACCAATCAATAAGACAGTGCTATAAATTTTATAATTTGGAAAAAATCCTACATTACTTTTAAATTACATAAATGGTATTTTAATCAAATAAAAATTTAAATAATTTTCCTAATAGAAAAGATATAAATTGTATTTTATATAACTAAAATTATGAAATTATTCATAGCAGCAAAAAGCAACATTTTATATAATATTTTATATTATACATTTTAGAATTTATACATTACATATTGTACAAATATCATAGAACCTTTCTACCATTATGAAAATTTGTATAGTATAATTTTTATAACTTTACATAACTACGCAACTGAATGCTTTTAAACGTATATCCTTAGCTTTATAGTGTGACATCATTTTCATAAACCTGACTTTTCAGCTTTCCGGGATGTCATTCCTGCCTGAAGACTTAATTGGTATTATTTCAAAATAGGCATCTTTGTTCATTCTTTACGTAGAGTAATTCATTATGCATATTTCTTATAGGAATTGTTGAGGAGTACCAGTTGCCTTATTACGACATGGTGCCTTCAGATCCCTCGATAGAGGAAATGAGGAAGGTTGTGTGTGACCAGAAACTCCGACCGAGTATCCCAAACCAGTGGCAAAGCTGTGAAGTAAGGCCATGTTTTTATGTATATTTTTCTTAGTATATTTTGAGGTGAGTATCGGGGGGATTCTCAGAGATTGCTAGTTTTCTTCCTTAAGCATCCAATTCATTCCATATATTTAGGTATTCTTCAGATGAATTTTTATTCCCTTCAGCAGTGTGTCTGCATAAGGCTAGCTTATGTGACAGTGATAAATCCTGTCATCTCAGCAACTTTATACAAGACTTATTACACAAAGTCCTCTATAGGTTAGACAACTCTCCATGGCATCTGCTGTCACCATGGTGACTCAGTATTCCAGGTGACTTTGATCCTTGGATGCTGCCATCTCAATACAGTTTTCAGGTTGCTAGATCAGGAGAAGAGAGGATATGGAGGATCACACACTGGCTTTTTAATGCTCTGGCACCATGTGGCGCACAACACTTCCACTCACGGCTCGTACTAGAACCTGTCATGTGTCCAATTAAACTGCAAGGGAGCTGGGAACTCTGGGGAGCACAGGCACACCCACTGGGTAGTTAATATCTCTGCCCCACTGAATATTGCAATTCCCATCAGCCTTATATTCAATAAAGTACTCCTAATCTCTAACCTGCAGAAGTGTGAAGTTAGGGTCCCTTATCAGATAGAAAAAGTCCCTTATGGCAGAGACCATTGTTCTTTGTCTCGTCATCCCCAGCAGCCCAGTATTTTAACTGTAACATAGTGACACACAATAAATAAATAATAAAGCTACTGCAGTGCTTGTTCTGCCTTATACAAAGACAGGTTTTTTCCAGCTCCCATATGGAGAAAGAGAGACGGTTGAAGGAAAGACTGTATATAACTAGTTCTAGAGCTGTTCTGATGTTTTAATCTACTTCGTTCTAGTTATTGCTGTTTATTTTCTGCCATATAATAATGGAACAAATAAAATCCTTTTGGGGTGACATTGTTTAGCTTGGCTTTATTATAGGGACTATTTTATATAATTGTCTTTTTGCTTGTCTTTCCCCCCACTTCACGTTTCCAAACTCTTTCTGTTTAAAAAGGCAAGAGTTGTCTCTGTCTTGGTATTTCTGGGGTTTGTATTTTGCCTCCATACTTATCTGAAAGCAGATTTTGTGGCATTTATAACCTAACTGAAATTAAATTAAACTTTTGATATGAATAATTGGATGGACATGAAAGCCTATAGTAATCACTACCGTAATTAGTTTTTTATAATCGCCTTGCTTTTCTTTTAGAATTTTACCGTCCACACACATATATATGTATTTCAGGATATATACACATAGTCTGAAGAAAAATGTAACGTTTACTTCTGTGTATTTGTGAAACTTATATGATTGAAACTTACTGTAGATTTTTTTCAAATGTCTTCACTCTCCATTATATATATATATGGATCTGTAGGTCTGCCCATTTTCATTACTGTGTAGTAGACTGTTGCATGGTATAGCACAATTCCTTTATCTCCTCTACTGTTGCTTGTCATGTATGTGATTTTTATTTAATTCTTTAAAACATTGTTGGTCTATAAACATATGTGTGGGAAAGTTTCTTTAGGGTATAAATCTGGAGATTCTTTTGAGATGTTCACACTGGCGATGAAAGTCTTCAAATAACAAGACTTATGGGACCAGTCGTCCTGCCTGTTCTTCCTTTTTTTATTGCAGTTTTTAGGACTTCTAGTGCAATAGTGCCTGGAAGTGGATTGATAGTGGTGTCTTGTTTTGTTCTTTAAAACTTTTTATATATTAACTTTGAGTATGATATCTGCTATAGATATCAAACGTTTTTGTTTGTTTGTTTTGGGGGGCAAAAACTTAAATAAAAGCTGACTTTGGTTCAATAAAAGCTTATTCTCTCTATGGTGATGATATGGCATTTCTGGTCTGGTCTTTTAATGCAATGAATTGCATTTATAGATTTCCTACCGTGAAACCAATCGTGGCTTCCTAAAATAAACTCTCTGTTGTCCTTTTATATGTGATCAATTTTGTACGTTGCAGATATTTGCCATTTTTCTTCAGTCATTTACTTACATCTTATTTTATCTAATCCCATGTATTAGATATGGGCCTGATGTACCATCATTGTTTCTTGAGCCTTATTCACATGTTTATCAAATTCTTTGTTCAATATTTCTTCTTGTCTCTCAGAGCTTCCTCCTTAGATTATGATCAGACTTCTTGGCTTGATCCTTTAAAATGTTTTATTTTTTAGTGAGGGCCTAGTGCGTGTAAGTCTTTTCAGTTTTAGAGTGCCTGAAAATGTCTATTTTGTCCGCAGTATTGAATAGTATTTATAGGCACACAAAGGTAGATTAACAGCTAATTTCTCTAAACACCTACTATTCCACTGCCATCTAGCTTCCATTATTGATGCTGGGAAGTCATTGGGTAATCCAAATTTTGTTTTTTGTTTTCCTTTTTTTAAATTGTTATTAAATGATAGTTGTATACATTAATGCAAACATGGGGTACAGTGTAGTGTTTTCATATACAATTTGAAATCTTTTCATCAAACTGGTTAACATAGACTTTGTGTTCATTTACTTAGTTATTGTGTTAAAACATTTATACTCTAGTTCTAGAAAAGTTCACTTGTACCCTTGTTAGACAGACCATATAGGTGATCTTTCCAGTCACCCTCCCACCACCCATCCGCCCTTGTCCCTTTCCCACTCCCTCCCCATATTCTTGGGCTAGAATTAAGTTGTAGCTTTCATTTGAGATTTATAAATTAGTTTCATAATAGGGTAATCAAAATTTTGTTTCTTTTCAGTCAATTTACCTTTTCTTTCTGACTACTTTTATGAAGAACTTCTCCATTTTCTGGAGAAACTTTCTTCTGCAGTTTCTCTGTGATGTACTTGACGTATATGCCTTTTGGTTAATCTTGCTTGGAATTTTTGGACTTTATAATTCTAATGATTTGTGAAATCTGTTCTGAAATTTTTCAATTCTGAAAATTTCTGAAACATTTCTTGAATAATTTCCCCCCCTTCCGTTGTCTTCATTACCTATTATTGAAGAGCTCATCATAGGCACAGCAGACTTTTCATTCTTCTGTGCTTGTCTTTTATTCACTCATACTTTCTATATTTGTGTCTTAACGCTCTCTCTCTCTCAGATGTATCTCTCATTTCTTTAATTCTGTCTTCAGATATGTCATCTGCCATCATTGAATTCATCCACTGAGTTCCTTATTTTAAATGTTGTATTATTCATACCAAGGCTTTTTATTGGTACTTTTTTCATTTTTAAAATACCTTTTTACTCATATTTTATATTTCCATTTTGTTTTTAAATTATATTTTATGTATACTTATTTTATATCATTTAATTTTAGCATCTACTGTTTTTAGGGATCTGGGATTCTACTGTTTATTGTTTCACTGATTCTTGCAGTGGGACCCAGTTCCCTTATGTGTTTGTGGATTTTCACTATCAGATCAGCTTTACTACAGTGTCTACAGGCATGGGCTCAATTTTTTTTTTTTCTTTACCAAGAGCCAAAACATGGGCAATTGTCCCTTTCTGGAACACATTCATTATTAAATTCAAGGCTTTGTAAAGATCTTGATCTAATACTTTCTGTGTGCCTTGGGCTGTGTTTCCTGTCTTTTAAATGTGGCACATCAATTCAGAACTTCTACCAGGTATCCTCGAACTATGGCCCAGGGGCCACATGTGGCCCGCCAACGACATTCATCTGGCACGCTGGGTGTTTGTGCTGCCATTGCCCGTCCTGCTTAGCAGCTGACTCATACCGGGGCCTGCAGTCCGGTACTCCAGCGGTCTGAGGGACAGTGAACTGGCCTCCTGTTTACAAAGTTTGAGGACCCCCATATCAGATCAAGAAATGTTGCTACAGCAGCCACCTACTTAAGTGATTTTCTATATTTTTCTGGTTTCATGAATTCTCATTGTTTTCTCCCCTTACTTCTTTGCTACTTCATTTTTGCTGATTTTTTAAATTCAGAATTTTTGAAATTTATACTTGGATCATTATTTGTAGTGTACCATTTATGTCATATGGTAAATGCACAAGTCTTAGTAAACAACTTGATGAAGTGCTTTTCATATGTGCACTTGTGTGTACTCATCACCCAGAAGATACAAATAATTTCCAACCTTTGCCATGTCCTCTCATCTTTTTCCTGTTCTTTCTTAGAGGATTTTAAAAGATAGCTATTCTACGATATTCCCAGAAACCAATGCATTGAATTTTCAGTTAAGTTAGTCTGCAAAGTTGATGTTTGTGTTTGGATAGGATTTCTGAAGGAGTTTGACTCTAATCTCTTTCTTTTATTGTTTTAAGTTTACTATTTCTTTACCAAAGTTTAGCATTGACACCAGGCACAGTGGCATGTGCCTAAAGTCTCAGCTGCTCAGGAGCCTAAGACAGAAGGATTTTTTGAGCCTAAGAGGTTAGTCTGAAGTACGCTATAATTGTGCCTATGAATAGCTCCTGCACTCTAGCCTGGGCAACACAGCGAGATCTTTTAATACAAAAAAGCTTAGAATCAATTCCTGGGTTTGTGCTTTCCTTCTTTTTCACTTTGTTTTCAGTGAGTAGCTGAAGTCTTTGATATTTTTCTCTTTCTTAAAGGCACTCCGAGTCATGGGAAGAATAATGCGTGAGTGTTGGTATGCCAACGGGGCAGCCCGCCTAACTGCCCTTCGTATTAAGAAGACTATTTCTCAACTTTGTGTCAAAGAAGACTGCAAAGCCTGATGATGATGATCGTGTTAAAAAGAAATCTCTTTCAACTTTCTTTCCCATTTCCCCTCTTTATGTGAATGTTTTGTCCTTTTTCTTTTTTGGTTCTACCTCAAAGATTATGCAGTACAGTATTTAAGTGCCCACAGGCAGCATGAAAAGGTAACTCTAAGCATGAGCTGGACTTGACTTCGTCCAGTCTCCATGTCCTGTTTAATTTTATTTTGAAAAGTAACACATCAATTCGTCTTTTTATTTCATGAGAAGGAACGACAATTACAAAGTGTAAAATAAGCTATATAAAAATAATAAAGTCATTAAGATTTTATTTTACTTGAACCAAGAACACATGAATGAATAGACAAAAAAATGTAAAAACTTTTTTTTTCTCAAGATGAAAATACATTCATTGATGTGAACTAGAGCATGTTATGTCTAAACAGAACTTTGGGTCATGCAATCAAAGGCTTTCCCTTTTTAGATTAGCAGGACCTTTTAAAAATAGTAAATATTGCTCTGAATTCTAAAATATAAAACACATGAAAGTGGAGCTGCTCAGTGGAAGATGTGAGTGAGGTCAGAGTCCCACTTGCTTGGTCTCTCCTCTGCCATTCCCATACTGTTCACAGTCCATTGCTGCAGCCATCCCTGGGGCAGGGAGTTTGCAAGCCGCTGACCTTGTGACTTCCTCTCATTTATAAAAGAGACACCTGATAGGCTGGGACACTGAGAAATGTCTCAAAGTCACACAGCTAAAGGTAGAGCTATTATGAAATCTTATGATAATCAACACTGACAGAGCCAGCTGGCCTCCTACTTTTTCTTGAATTCCTGTAATTCTTCTCTCCCTGTGAACAGTTTTTACTGTGATATTGGTAGTTTTGTCATTCAAAAGTCATAGAGTTATTTCGCAGGCTCACAATACACCTGTATGCAACCTTAGACCATCTCTGTTGACATTTTCCTCAGAGAAGTATTCGTTACCCCATTTGTCAATGAGTATTAACGTTTTTTTAAGTAAGTCCAGAGATTAATCAGACTCAACTCTTCATTATGTCAAGATACCTTAAGATGTAACTCAGAGGTTCCTATTACTTTTGCACACACACATTGAGAAAGAAAAGGACAGGAAAAAAAGAGGAAGCAAGAACATATTTTGAGAAGTGTAACATGCCAAACTCTATGAAGTATATCAGCAACAATAAATAGGTATTTCAGAATTACAGAAAAATGCTCATGAGAGTTTTGCCTTTATTCTACCTTCTGTGGAGTGATGAATATTTGGGGGGACATTAAATATGTCCTTCAAATCTGTAATACTGCCTTGGTGAAGGAATTTAACATGGTATCTTTTATTGTTCTAAAACGTTTTTTTCCGAAACTCTGTTCCTTAGAGAATTCTTCCCCTGAGAGGATCCAAGATCCAAAGTATTCTATGATAGTTTCTTAAACAGTGATACTGCACATTAGCATACAATGTACTGTGAGGAGTAAAGTAAATGTTAACAGTAAAGAAAGGTTACTTGATTTTTTAAAACTGGATTTCTCCAATTATTTCACCAGGGTGAAATCCTTTTATTAGGAGGAGGAAAAGCTTTTTCACTATCCCATGTTCAAGTGTTCTAAAAAGTGCAATTTGACTTAAAAAAAACAGCGTTCTCTGAAGGCTATACCCATGTATTTTCACATCATAGAGTATAATTTAGTGATTATGCTTCATTTTGTTATGTGACTATGTTACTGAACCCATCTTCGTTTGACTAAGTTGAAAATAAAGAAGGCAAAAAATGGACAGGTTTACATATACTTCCATTCTCATTCATGCATTCATTCATTTATTAAATCATTTTGGAGCACCCCATATTTTGCTTGCCACAATATGGGGTGCAAGAGAGAATAAAAAAACAGAGAGGTCCTGCCCTCAGGGATTTTAAAGTCTAATTTGGGAACAGGCATAGGGATGGGAGTGTGTGGGGGAAGAAAGTAAATTGACAGATAAAATACAAAGTGGGATGTCTTGAGTTCTGTGTGACAGTGGGTTTCTAGAATAGGTCTGAAAATCACTTTCACTTGGCAACACATTTAGAAAGTATCTTTATTTGGATATTAGAGACAATCTAAATATATCATCAGTTTTAAAAAGTGCCTGTTGAAGGGATTTTTAAAAGACTTGATTTAAAAATGGATCATCTCACTTGTGCTTGCTACCTTGATCTGTCATACATTGTTTCTGCATACATAAGAAGGAGATTATTTATTTACTGTGGTTGTACTCTGGTCTCAAATAAATGAAAATACTATTTTTCGTTTTATTCCCTTAAATACTTACTCACATTGTAATTATTGAATTTTTAAGAGAGGTGTTTTACTATCTACATTTTCCTTGTTGTTATGTTTTATAGTTTATTTGAGACTGTCTAAATATAGTTTCATATTTTATTGGTTTGCCTTTCACTCTGGAGAAATCTGACATTTGTAAATTGTGGTATATCTTTTTTGTGTGTATTGGTTAGCCATAAGTCCTAACTGAATAGTCTTATCTTTCTAATTACAAAATACATTTTTGGGGAAAGGGGGTAGAGCAACAAAAATGGTAAGGAAAATGTGAAAAGCTGTGATTTTTCCTAAACTCTCAACAGGAGTATACGTAGAAAATGCTCACATAGAAAGATAGGATGAAGTTGAGAGTCTAAGGCAGATTTTCTGTATATACCTATGCTGTGATATTTTATATTATTTGTTTTTAATGGAGTCCCTTTGTGCAATATTTACTCTTTTCAATTTTGTTATGCGTGAAAACTATGCTTCTTAGGTTAGCCTCAAAGTATCAGTGTTCTCTGCTCCTTTTCAGATATTTGACATTCGAGCCTAATACAAGACTTGGGAAAATGCTACTATGAATTTTCAGTACTGTATGGAGGGGGGATGGGGTTTATATGCAACATCACTTTCTGAAAATAAGAGAAACATTATTTGTTGTCACTATTTCAGCATGAACTTGTTGCCTTGTAAGTTATGCGTTTAAGTTCGTAACTGGTACAGATCCTGTTGTATGCTTTCTTCTATGTCTAAAATATTTGGCATGTCACATCTAGAATTCTTAATTTATGTTCTGACTTGAGAGTTAAGTGAAACATGACTGTCGTGCACTATTTTAGGCATAGCACTTGCTTTTCATCGTTATACTTTCAATTAACTTTGCATTTTAAATTTCCATGATTGTATGAAAATAGTAACCTGGTTGCAGTGTCTGAAAAATTCAAGATCAGCTTTTATTTAAAAATGAAAATCTACAACAGATTCATTAGGTTCGAAATCCCACAATAATTTATGATCTTAATACTTCTACTATTGTAGAATCACTCAACAAAAACAAAACAAAAGTACTTCTGTTATCCTGGAATTTTGCCACCACGTGAGTTACTGGGGCACAGAAAACTCAGGGCTATCTTGAAGTCTACACAGAAGTACCAGGGAACCTACTTGGCAAATAACCTGAAGGCAGGGCCAGGACATTTGCCATTGTGTACAAAGTTGGAGTGAATGACTTAAAGTTGCTTGTTAGGGGATAGTTTTTGATTGATTGAATTAAATTTGGAAATGTGTCTGATTAAAAAAAATTTATTTCAATGTAGAGATTTTATTTTCCACTAAGAAATTAAGTAATAGTTACAAAAGAATACACATTGGCAGTTGATGTCTTCAGTAGTTATTCCTTTGAAGACATTCATAAAGACAACATTATAATCTACTTAGAAACGTTTAGTATTAGTACCAGAAAATGGTGCCATTGTGGTTTTCAAAGATACTCTAAATACTTTTCCTTTCATGAAACTTACCACTTCTGTGTTTGGCCCTGCTTTGTTCTAGACCTACATGCTATTGCCTACCTGGACTTTATTCTCTAGTGAAGAGAATAATCCCTTTGATCCTTAGAGCGTCTTACAAACAACAGAAAAGGAGGTTGGAGTGTAAAGTTTTCATTAAAATGTTAATATTAAGTAGAATTTTTATAGCATAGGCCTTTAAAAAACTATTTTAATGCACATATTCACATATCTGAATTTCTTTTTTTTCTGTATACTCTTACTTTATTATTTTTCTCACCTTTTAAAAATTGTTTCAGTATTCCCTCATTGTCATCTAAAACTCTGGTTAGTATCTAATTGAAAAAAGAAATAACTGTTACTTAACTTAATCATTCTGGAATACAGCCTTCTAGGGAAAGGGAATTCCTTAGTGGTCTAAATTATTTCAGATGTGTCAAAACGAAAATCAGATTTAGGACTTAGGGAGAATCTAAGACATTTTGTAACTTGATTCCAGTATTTTACGGATGAAGAAACTAAGGATCAGAGATTACATGACGTCTATGTATTAGCAGAACTGATATGAAAACCCAGTGGTGACGTCCAGCATTGTGCCTTCCCACATCCCCAACTCTTATTAATTAAAAAATAAATTAGCATGCATCCAGACCTGCCTTGAATGGACACTAAAATATGTGTCGCTTGGCAATGATCAAATCCCACTTCTCTTTGTATTTCTACCAAAATTATTTGCTTGCTCAGGGTGAAGTCAGTGAGACAATTTAAAATAGGCTAAGAGAGAGGTACAATAGAGGTGTAAAACTAGGTAGGCCACCATTGGGGTGCTCATAAAATTGAGGCGTAACGTTTATGAACTGTGAAAGGATAGAATTTCTTGGTTCAAGTAATGATTTGAGAAGTGTCATGACGTCCTCCCCCCTTTCTGTAAGAATTGTGCTTTCTCTTTTTGTGTTGTAAAGGGAATGACAGGTGATTTGGTAGGTGAATCTGGGATTGTATCTAGTGATGTATTATCTGACTTTTTTTTCCTTTTTTTAGTTTCTCATTAGTTTATTTTCAGTTTTCATCTTCTTTCACTGCATTAAAAATCTGTTTGTCCTATTTCATCACTCCCAAATCACTCTCTACGTCCTTTCTTTCTTTAGTTAGATTGTACCCCTATCTGAATTGCTATGAACTGAACTTCTTAAGGAGAATTTCATTTCTCCACCTCTATGTAAAAGGTCTCACTTCTTGACTTCTCTAGTAATTCTTCACTTGACATCCTAAAAAGGGTATTTGTAATGCATTGCAGAGGTGACTTTCTTTTAAACCTTAGGAAGACTAGCTGTCTGGTTATATCCTAGCTTTTAGGTATCTATAAAGAATGTCTACTTTTGCTTTGACACTAGCTTCCACTTGAGAGACAGTGATTTGGAAAGACAATATGAAATTTATGTCCCATAATGTGACTGCTACATTTATTTTTGTTATTTTGTACCTTTGCTTTGTTTTACTTGTGTCATCTTTTTAAACTAAACCATTGTGCTATATGGTTTGGAATATAATATATTGAAGTTAGGTAATAGTCCCCATTTTAAAACTCCCTTATTAAGTACCATCAGGACGTTTTTCTATTTCAGTTGTAGATGACCACAGTATTTGGGAAAAGATGGTCTCTATCTCATCTTAGATTTTAATATTTTCAAGTGTGACTGTATTTCATTGATCATTGGTCCATGTTATCCCACAAGAGGTTTTCCCTCCAGACCTAGAAGTTTTAACTGCAAGATTTTTACTATGGACTACATAAATCTGAATGTTGATAGGGCCACTATGAATCTGAGTGCATTAGGAAATTAATTAACCTTACACCTGCTGTCACCACATCCAGTTGGGCGTGTTGTGCTCTACCCAAATACTCCCTGGGAAGGGCAGTTCAGGGCCAAAATTCAAACTGCAATCTGCTCCTCTACCTAGACATAATTTTATATATATTTTGGAGAAAGGCACCTTACATGCTTACATATCTTCAGATAATGGCCCTGCTTATACACCATCAGAAAGGGAAATTTGAAAATTCAAAATACTCTCAGACATCTGCAAATTAAACAGAGAACTTAGAAGAAAAAATGCTTTGGCTTTTCATGTTGGCATTCCCAAAAGAAGAGAGGTTGTGTGTTTGTGCTATGGATTTAATTTTTCCACACAATCTGCAGCAAAACCCATGGACCCTAAATTTGATATCTCCATAGAGTTTCCTTCCATGCATGAAGCCATTTATTGACTTTGCTTATAATTGCCTAAATTCTAACAAATGTGATAGAATGGCATTTGTCAATACCTTGATTTCCTCCACAGGCTACGTAACAGTAATGATATATTTTTAAAGATCCAGCTCTTCTCTCTTTATACAAAGTGAAGGCATCTGAGCCAAAATATTAAATTCTAGTTCATTTTCACAATGACTAGTATCAAACTCGTGTACTCTTCTGATCCTAAACTGGAGAAGACTATTCAAACTTGATCTGTGTTTAAGGTCTTAAAATGCCCTAAAAACAGAAAATTATATTCAGATCTCAAAAGAGGAATTTTGGATTGACTTTCAAAGTACTAATACTAATTACACTTTTCTTTTGGTAGCGTGACTCTTCTTACACCTAAGAACATATTACAAATGTCAAAACCATTGCATTTTGACACTGCAAAACATGCCTTGAACTCTTGAACTACTGTGAAAAGAATCACTGTTGTAAAGACTTTTTTGTAAGCTAGCTAATACTCTTGAGTATGTTAAAAAGATACTGCCTTTCAACAGTCAGGCCCAAATGAATGTATATAAGGAATATGAAAAAGTAAATTAGGGTTTTAAAAAGGAGAATTAGGCAACAAATTGTATCAAAACATGAAGATAAGGATTTTAGTAGTTATAATTTAAAGGTGGAAGGGGAATAGAATTCCAATTTCTGAGAAATGAATGATATTCAGATGCTTCATTGATTTCTAGTCTGTGAAAATATGCATTTTTATAGTAATATATAAATACATATTTTATTTAAAAATGATAGTATTTTAGGATTTAGTAAAAAGTCAAATGATATCCTTTATACCAAAATGTTTAATTTTACCAACAGCAAGTCTTAAAAATTATTTATTTTAAAGCTTTTTAATATTATCGCATAACTTTCATCTGTCTT